AAGCAGAAGGAAACAGCCTGGAACTGCAGGAAGCTATCAACCTCAGTCCCAGGTTAGCCTCAGCTACAGGTCCCCGTTTTCAGTCCAAGTCTCTTAGCTTTCAGCCATCTAGCCACCACTCTTCTAACTCTCAGTTTGCTAGTCTCCAGCCTCCAACCAGCTTCCCCCGTCAGCTACCAATCAGTCTGCACTCCAATTAAATAGGCTAGGGTTAGACAATTTGCATTCTCTGTGTCCGAGCTGATGTCACAGGCTGGAAGTACAGGTTTCCACTTTTTGCCATGTTTTAACTTTGTTATTTATGTTTTATTTGATCCTTTTATTGCATGTTTTTATATTGTGTTTATGCTTGGTTTTGACAGTGTTTTATGTATGCTTTTAAGTTGAAATCAGTTGAGTTGTTTTAGCCTACTTCCTCCCTGACACTGTGCCAATCATACTCAATAACCTGCACCTGGCCAGCCACCTGATATACAACATGGTTCATCAATGGCAAGGGAGAGCTGACCCATGGTGGACCAATCGGTATGTGTAATAGATTATGGAAGCCTAAGTTTGCACGCAATTGGAAAAAAATGATGCTTTTAAAGCTCATTCAAATTGGAACTTGTGGCCCTCAAGTGGGCAGTGACAGACAAATTCAAAGACTACCTGACTGGTGCCCAATTTACTGTGTACACTGATAATAACCCTGTTGCTCACTTGCAGACGGCCTGCCTGGGTGCAGTAGCAGCCATTTAACTATGATATTATGTACTGCTTGGGTAAAAATAATGTGAATGCAGATGTACTGTCCACATTCCCAGTGGTGTCTAAGCCAGGAGATGCACCAGATGAAGAACGAGGCAGCGAAACAGACCCCATCACAGCAGCCGTTGTACCAGCCCCTGAAGGGAGAGGTGAAGGATGGGCCAGTAGTGAGTGGGAGGAGGCACAAACAAACGACCCTGACATACAAGCAGTCAAGAGGTATGTGGAAGTACAGCTAGCACCCAAGGGACCAGGACGACTAAAATACTGCAGCAGTACAAGAAGCCTTCACTCTTCCTGTTTGCACCCTGTGAGTGAGGAAGTCAGGTTTTGTTGCATCTTAACCTTATTAGGGTGAAAATGACTTAATTGTTGTTTCTTGCCACATCACTGACTGCAAGCCTGAATGCTTTATCTTCTGTTATAACATATTACATATATCACAATAGACATGTAGTTAAGATTAAATTGAAGATAGGTAGATATAAAATAGACATGTAATGTGCAGCAGGTGGTTTATTAACGCCTCATGGATGGAAGATGGACGTCTGGAATACCCTGCTATAGACCTGCTGCCACTGCAACCCAGCCCTGGATAAATAACAGAAAATGGATGGAGGCTAACAGACAGAAAGATTTTGCCCATCAGAAGCAATATTTAAAGATGTGTCTGAACGTATGTGTTGTAGTTATTTTTCACTTCACAAGTAAAATTTTCCACATCAAAGAATCAATATTCAATAAAAGGACAATAAACACCATTCTGGACAATATGATGAAGACATTTTGTTGCTGAGAGCTGTGTGGCTACAGTCACTATGATACAGAAGCGGCAAAACAACTTCTCCTTTTTACGTATAGTTCTCAGCTTTTTCTCAGCACTAACATCCCACCACTTCTCTTTGGTCCTCTCACTCTGGTTTATCAGCCACAAACAGATAAAGTTCTTTCATCACATAAAGAATCGAAAGAACATTAAATACTGTAACACAAAAAGTTTCTGTTAATATTTCACAGATATGTTACACTGCTTTAGTGGTAATTAAAGATTGAACTATGAGTTGAAGAGGATATATAATAATACAACCTCATGCCTAATAACTCAACTTATTCTCAATCACCAAGACAAAGATTATTTCATACATTCATTATATTCATAGGAATCTGGGACTGAAGCTTGGGCTGAGAGCTTGGAACCTGTGGCTGAGGTTTAGGGACCTTAAGTAAGTCTGTGACCCAAACTGTTATGGAGCACAACTTTTTGGGAGCCAGAGTTCATCTAAAACTATGTCTGCTCGGCCCATGATTGACCTGATCGTTCTGTCACGTTAGGTAATGGTGACGTTTAATAGGTTTTATTCTAAAGGTGAAGATGATGAAGATGGTGATGATGAGGGGAGGGTTGAAGAAATGGCTTACAAATGGTCCTCACCACTGTAGAGGGCACTTTAGCACACGTTTTTCAACAATTGGGCCACGAGGGGGGGCGACCGCTCAGGCACTGAGTAGCTGGAGAACCGGAGTAGATATACTGTTGTGTTGACTGGAGGTAGGTGCGTAGACTGAGAGAGTTGATGGTTTCATTGCATATAGGTGTGTGAAGCAGAGCTGGAAGGCAGGAGGGAAACCCACGCCCACAACACACAGATAGGAGACACAGGGGAGGGGGAAACACAAGAAAAACACAAGGAAAAGGCAAGGGTACAGCCATGGCCATGACAGCTGTCTCTACCTGTATCTGCCTACAGTTTGGTGCTGAGCAGGTAGTGAACAGTGAATCTTAGAGCTTTTTACTTTGACTTTTACTTCTGCATCTGAAAATGAGGCTGATGAAAGCTGTGAGAGTGAACCAAAACACTTAAAGTTAGGGCTGTAAAATCAATAGTATGAGTTACATGGAACTAATAAGACTAACAGTCACAGCCAGGATGGGAAAAGGGAGGGTGAAGCGAGTGAGTTGCAATCTGCAACTACACTGTTAGATGCCACAAAATCTTCCACACTGGACCTTTAATTCCTGAATACAGTTCAGCTGTTATCTATTAAATCAAGTGCTGACAGAGGCACACAGTTCAAACATTACAAACTTGTCATCATCTCACAGTACTCCATAGTTTCAGTGCTGAAGATATTTCTGTAAATGAAATAAGTTTTAAAAGCATGAGGTTTGTCAGTGTGTGGTTGATGAGTTAAAGTGGGTAAAAGAGAAGTGGTGGAAGATGTCATGTACAAAGCGCTGAGAAAATGGAGGGAGCTTTAAGTTTACAGAGGATGTCATTTCAGTGTCAATAAATGCATGGATTAAAGTATTACTGTAGTTCTATTTATGCTAAAATGTAAAAATGTTTCTAGTCACCTATATATATGCAATCCAAATACAAAATGACAACAGATTCATCACCTGACCCAGCAGGACCCTCACCAGCTCTGTCTGTTGCTTTAAACACTTAACAAAAAGAAACTCAGCAGGATCATCTAAATCTTTTTCCCCTTTGACTGTCCTCCTTACAATCCATTGTTGTTGTTTTTGTTGTTTAACAATTGAAACAATTGCAAAATAAAATAAAATATACTGCAGAAAAAATAAGACACATGGGTTTGCAGTCAATACATCACAACACTAGTGTGTTATGTAAAGTTAATGATAATAGAAAACACTCAAAATAAATAATTAATAATAAATAATATTAACAAAAGCTCCTCGCTCACAGGGTGTGAATAGAAAGGATGAAGACTTGTTGTAGTTGGATATGTGAAATGTTATTAAAAAGTGTTTTAATTGAGTATTTAAAGTGAACAGAGTATATTAGTCACTCACTTCTCTCATCAGCTTGTTATTACAGAGCAGCAGTGATGAAGTCAGCAAAAACTCTGTGGTACCAACATGTATGAAATAATCTTTGGGTGTTAACAATTAAGACTTTGTTGAGTCATTATGCACAAGGTTCATCAGATATCCTCTTTAGCTCACAAACATCTCATAATTCAATCTTTAATCACCATTAAGATAACGGCCTTTTTCTTTCTTTTGAACAGTGTTTGAGTACTTTATCTGTTGCTGATAAACCATAGTGACAGGACCAAAGAGAAGTGGGGGGATGTAAAGTGGTTAAGTTGTGAACAGGGCGCTGAGAAAGAGCAGAGAACTATAAGTAAAAAGGGAAACTTGTTTTGGTGCTTCTGTGCTTCTGCAGGATGATCATAGTGACTGTAGCCACACAGCTCTCTGCAACAAAATGTCTTCATCATGTGCTCCAGAATGGTGTTTAGTGTCTGTGTATTGAATATTTATTCTTTGATGTGGAACACTTTCCTTGTGAAGTTCACAACTCACACCTTCTTCAAATATTATCTCTGATTGAAACTTGCAAAATCAGCTTTACCAGCTCTGTCTGTTAGTATCCATCCATTTCCTGCTGTTTATCCAGGACTGAGTCGCAGTGGCAGCAGGTCTACAGCAGGGTAGACATCGCTCCTCACATGTTCCAGCTCTTCCTCCTGGGGAATCCTTCAGTACATTTTATGTATACTGTTCAACTAATCTTAACTACATGTACAGTATCTAGTACAGTAATATGTACTAAAACAAGATGTGATGAATTGTGATGAAAATAATATTTAAGAATACATAATGAATAAGTCTTTTTCACCCTAATAAGGTTAAGATGCAACAAAAGCTGACTTCCTCACTCACAGGGTGCAAACAGGAAGAGCAAAGACTTCTTGTATTTCAGCAGTATTTTAGTCGTGTGATATCTAGTTTGAAACAACAAGTCTGTTTGCTTTTATGTTACAGCGGCTTAGCAGGGAAGTCTGTTACTGGGTCTGTTGTTTCTCCGGTTTATCTGTAGGCTCGTTTGGTAAGGTCAAATGTTACTGCTTTTTATGTTTGAACTTTTTAACCCAGAGAGTTTTTATTTTGCTGCTTTTCATGAACTCCACTGAAAAAGACATGATATATTTTATTTGTTGGGTTTTGTTTTAGCAGAAATAATCCTCAAAGAAATGAGAAGTTTCTCCAGCAACATGTTATTTGCACTGTAATATCATAAACTCACACTGGATCATTCTGATTTTATATTGAAACTGTTTTCAGAGCAACTCTGCAGATATTATTCATCACTACTTATAACACAGTAACATCTGGTTGGACATGGCAAGTTCCTGGTTTGAATGTGTGAATCTGAGGTTGCTTTAAAACAACATGAAGGATGCTTTGATTCAAATATTGAAGAGTAACTTTTTTTCAGATCCAGGTGATGAGTGTGATTGCAGTCCTGTCTGTGAATATGGTGACAGCCAACATGTTACTGAGTGTCTTCTTTCTTTCAGGTGAGCTGTTTGTTCAGTCACTTTTATTTGGAGACGTTAATCATTTACAGTTTGGACTTCATTTAGAAACAAAGCAGAAAGACCAGTGCAGATAGAGTTACTTTTTCCAACTGTTCATGTCCTGACTGCAAAGTGAAATGTTTTATATAGAAATTGTTAACAGGACAGGGAAAAAGACCAGCATGCAACACACTGCTGATTTGTTTATCATGAACTTTCTCTTCATGCTGATTTTTTTCCACATTTTGTTCATCATGAGTCTGATTTTACAGGTGCTTTGGCTGATTGTCCTCAAGACACAAAGCTCTTCATTACTGCACCAAAGAAGATGGAAGCACTGAGTGGATCTTGTTTGCAAATCCCATGTAACTTTAGTGCTAAATCAGAACAAGATTTTAAAAGCAGCAGAGAAACCTTTGGAGTGTGGATTAAAACTGACCACAGATTTGGCCTCAATCCAAACAATGTGATTTTCAACAGTAGTAAGACAGTTAACACGTATCCAATGAATATTACTGGAAACCTGAGTCAGAAAAACTGCACCACTCTGTTTTCCAGTTTAATCACAAGTACAGACACATACTACTTCAGAATTGAGACTAAACCATTCAGAGCAACAGCTGTTTGTGATCCTCTTCAAATAACAGTTAAAGGTAAGAGAGCTTTGTTTCTTTCAGTCAGTCTATAATGTTATTGTTTAGAATAAAAAGTGAAACCAGTTACAGTTTTGGTCTAAACAGCACACTTTATCAATTTGGAGGTTTTTCACTTTACCATGAATTTAAATTCTGATTAAACACTGAGTCTATTGTTACAGTTTGACATTAAAATGGTCAAATTCTGGGACAGTGAAAAGTAGAAAAAAACTTTTGTTAATACTCATTTTTTAAGGAAGCGAATTGCATTTACTTAAAAAAAAAAAATCATTTTTTGATTTGTTTTTTGGATGTTTTTTTCTGAATTATCGAGATACTTCGAACTCCCGTGAGAACCTCCAACCTACAAGTGACTCCCATGGACCTATGGTGACTCCTGCCCGCACATACATGCCCCATCTTCAACAAGAGTCGACAAACTAATGATAATACCATCTATATGACTTAAAGACAGGACCATCTGTGTCTTAAACCCAGATCAAAGTAAAACTTGATTGAACTAAACAAGCCGGTAATGTTTGTTTCCGTTAAATCAAGCTCTCAATAAAGAAATTAATGCATCTATTGTTTCAAATGCTCTCTAAACTCAGAAAGAAAATTTGTCCGAAAAACAAAAAAAAAAATGATTCAGAAAATCCGAAAACCAACCATAAAAATACATTTTCAAGTGAATGCAATACGCTTCTGTAATTTGTAATCTACTTTCAGTGTAAATATGTTTGATTTAAATCACAGATTCTCCTCCGAGCCCCAGAATGGAGATCCCAGGTGATCTGAAGGAGAAGCAGTCTGTCAATATAACCTGCTCAGCTTTCACTCCCTGTCCACACTCCCCTCCTAAACTCACCTGGAATCTCCAACAAGACTCTCACAACCAAATAGAGGAAAACACAGATGGAACCTTCACAACTAAAATCCAGGAGAGCATCACTCTGTCAGACCAACATGATGGATACAACATCACCTGTTCTGTCAGATATCCTGTGAATGAAGGAAAAGATAACAAGACAGCAGAGGAGAGAAAGACTCTCAGTGTTTCATGTAAGACAACCAGAGTTTGTTATTGGATCCTGTCAGCACATGATGATTCATGGGATATCAGCTGATTCTTAATGAATAAAGTTAATCTCACATTTTCCTCAGATGCTCCTAAAGACACCTCAGTGTCCGTCAGTCCATCAGGTTTGGTGTCAGCAGGTAGCTGGGTGAACCTGACCTGCTCCAGCAGAGCCAAGCCTCCCGTCAGCCGCTTCACCTGGTTCAAGAACAGCAAAGATGGACCCATGAATGTATCTGAAGGACTGTTTTACAGCTTCACTGTGACAGATGGAGGAGTTTATTACTGTGTGGCTACAAATGATCTTGGTAATCAGTTGTCATCATGGATTCATTTAAACAGTGCAGGTAAATGTAGAACTGAATCTTATTATATAATTACTTTCTTCTTTTCTGTTTATCTTCTTTCTTGCAGCTGTATTGTAGTTTCTTGGTTTTAGTACCTCGCATATCATCTGCATATGTATGAATTTATTCTATACAATTAAACTTGACCTAGATGTTAAAAGAGAGACTTCAACGATGGTTACATCAGTATTTTTACAACATTCAACCTTTGTTTCCTTTCAGTCTCCTCTCTACAATGGGGTTCAGCTGTTGGAGGGATCATTGTTGTCATTCTCATCTGCACTGCTCTCTGTGTTTGGTAAGTATCACAAATTAAAGGATGTGACACAATAAACTCTCTGTCCCTGAAGTTTTAACTAAACGTACGTTCATGGTGAGAGCATGGATCAGGATGTGATCTGTCAGTTTTGTTTATTTCTGTACCAACAGATTCCTCACATTTACATTTTTGTACTGATTAAAGTGGTTGACTCTGAAACTCTCAAAAGAGAACAAAAGTTGTTGTTCAGACCACCTGTTCTGTGATTTACTGTCCTCCTTTAGTTTCATCACCAATCTCTACCAATTGTATTTTAATCTGTATGTTTTTATGCATCCAATAATGCTGTTTCCCATCAGTCCTTACTTCTATCATCTATTTAACCTGAAACACAGTATATTATTCTGACAACTCTCTAATGTCTTCCAGGTGGTTTAAGTGGAAACATCAAACTCCACAACAGACTCAGGTGGGAAAATACTAACCTTCATTGTACTGAACTGTTTGTTTGAAGTATTTTACAATGACAGTGTGTGATATATATGAAAGCATCAGTCTCAACAATCAGTAGACAGTGTTTGAGAGGTACGGAGCCCCTAAATTTTTTTTTATCTTGTGCGCACAAGATAATTTACTATAAATTCAGATGCATCTCTAATGGCTTCAGATGCACACAGCTGTCATATAATGGAGAGAACTCAGCTTATCAAATTTTATTTTCACCTCGTAATGTCATACCATGAAATTCTTGCTGCTCTTGCTAAAATCTGAATGTTGGACAGATTCTGTTTAGAGGGGCATGGACAATTTTGTAAAACGGGCGATCTAACCAAACAATGTGTTTGCTTACACTATGGGAGTGGCTTTATGTGGAGGAGGGGTAGCTACAAGACCATAGTGGCTCTAGTGGGCACAACAAATTTCACATGCACTAACTGACATGTAAGGCAGTAACAGTCAGGGGATGGGCTCTTTAAAGTTTACACAGGCTGGAGCACGTGTTAGTAACAGCTAGGGAGGTAACTTTAATTTTTCACAGGGCTGATAGCACGCTGTGGCTCTGTCTCAAGTTCTGCTTCTTACTTAGGCTGAAATACATAGCTGAATCAGTCAGGTACAAGATATATGTGTCACAGGGCCGGTGGCACGCTGTGTCTTAATTAAAAGGAGGAGCACTTTAATTTACAGCAAATGAAGACAGTTTGAATAGCTTGCATTGAATATGTCTGACTCGAATGCTGAACCAAATTCTTCTTTTTCATACGGTGTAGGTTCAGCTTGGAATAGCTAGCAACAATAGTAAACTCAAAATGAATATTCTCAAATTCCTTAATTTGATGAATAAATAAATTTCACCACAAAGTACTTGTTTATAAGTACAGCTTGACGTCTACTGCGGTGTCAGACTAGTGGAACTAGCCAAAATTTGCATATTGGCCAAAAGTACATAAAACATTAATATTGTGGGCGTGCCAGGAGTTTTATCACCTGGACATCGTGCATCATCAAGTTGTCTCAGGTTACAGTCCCAGAAAGTGACTTATGAGGTGACAGGAAGTGACCCGTCACAATAAATATCCAGTTAAACCACACCAAATGAACAAGTTCATGTTTAAATGTCCCCCTTTGACCCAACAGGAACCATAGTCATTTGGATCTGGTTGTCATCTACTTTGTTTGAATAATAGAGACACAAGAATTGGAATTGGAAGAAAAAGACCTGAACATAGTGAGGATTGTTCCAAAGAATCCTATCCATTTTATACTCAACAATATTTAAGGTTGCACTGTAATCCAGCAGCATCAGAACAAATGTTTAACCTGAGTCAGAATTCAGATTGATGTTTTCAGATGTTTGTGTGCCAAAGTGAAATTTAGATTGATCTGTGATGATTTAATCTGGAAGGATCCAGCTCACAACATTTCTTATTTGATTCATTTTTCAGAGTCAAAGAGGTGAAGAGCTTTCTCTTCAAATGCCAGTCAGCACAAGTGAAGAAAACATCCATTATGGAGAGATTGACTTTTCGAAGAGGAGACCTGAACCGTCCTCTGACTCAGTGCAGGACAGTGGACAGCAGCAGGATTCGCTGTATGCACAGGTCAAAGTGTCTGAGCCATCAAACAGATTAACTCACACTGCTGATGGTCCAGAGGATCTCTACGCTCAAGTGAAGAAATAATAAATGAGTACTGTTTTGTGATCACACTTGGGTTGGATTCATAATCTACCTTTATTTTGTAATTTTACCACATGTTTTATGTCACTTAATGAAGAAAGTAAGTGGAGACTAGACAGGAAAATGTTTACTGCTCACAGTTAAAAGGAAACTCCACACACTGCAGCTCAGATGGTTTTCTCAGTAATCACATTATCATAGTTCAGATTTATGTACTGACCTCATACAGCTGTTACTGTGTGGTTAGTAATCTGCTTGTGAGATATGTGCAAGAAAAAGTCTCAAAGCTCTGAATAGGAACTAATCTTAATGACATGAGAATGAATTATATTGAACTTGACACCAGAAGCAGTTCTGTACACACATTACCAGTGTAGTCCAAGATTATATCTACTTTTGAAATGTTTATGTTTATTTTACATTTTATTTTTAATAAGGCATATTGATCTCATTTGCTTTATCTATTGTGTATCCCATTTTCTTACATATTTACTATATTACTTCTAAAATGAACATGAGACAGAGTTTCTGCATTTGAAGATATTTATTCATTGCACTGTAATAAAAACGTTGGCATACAACTTGTAAAAATACCTAATAATCTCACTCGCATTTATTGGTCCAACATTTCACATATTGTGTGTAAACATCACCTGAAATCATACAATTTAATCACAAACATAACGAAAGTGACGAGATGAACTAGCATAGTAATTCTCGGGTCCACTGGAAATCTGCTACAATGTTTTGAGTATTTATTGTACATCTGATTAATCTATTTTCTAATATCAAGTTCAGTTTAACATGAAGGGCATTTCTTCAGACTCAGTCAATAATGTATTAAAAGAGCTGCTAAAATTCACTTAAAACCTTTCTATGAGTAAAAACGTTCAAACTTGATCTACTCTTTGTCAGAATTTTGCCAAAAAAAGATCTTTGGGCTTCAGCTTGTAAACACAGCATCCTAGACACTGTACTGTTAAATATCTCTGAGGCACTACTGGGCCATGTTGATTGTGCTTTAGTACTATGCTATCTCTTGTGAGTGAATGGAGGTAGTGACAGTATCTACTAACCTTCATGTTGAGAGTCAAACCTCCCTCCTACCACCAACCCAGCACCAGTCCCTCAGTGTTGCAGCATTAGTGTGAAGTGGTTAAAACCCTACTGACAGGAAGTTCCCCCCTGTTCCTGGAGGAACTTCCTGTCAGTAGGGTTTTAATTGTGCACTCTGTCCTCCAGAGCCTTCAGCTCAGCCTCCACCTGAGCCGGCAGATCAGCTCCAACTTGCTGAGTGAAGCAGGCTCTCAGCTCCTTCGTCTCCTTCTGCCAGAAAGATGTAGGCACATGGAACAGGGCACCCATATCCACCTTGCTGCTCAGACCTTTAGTGTTGATGGCGCCATCTTCTGGCAGCCAGCCGATAATGCTCTTCTTGGCCATCTTGTCCTCCATCTCCCCACCGCAGAGCAGAGCCGGGCCAGAGGAAAGCAATAGAGAACTAGTTATAGTAATAGTATTAGTAAAGGTAATGTCCTCATCATCCATTCATCTTAAAGCACCTCATCAATGGGATAACTCTAATATCTGTATTACAAATAATGACACAATACCTAAAACTTAAAGCTTAAAAGTTAGTAAACTACATTGACCTTGAAATTACAAAAAAAGGACAAAAAATATATAATTTCAGGATTGTCAGGATTTAAAGATTTGATTTATAATAGTTAAAAATAGTTTTTAACACAAGAACTTTCTCTGTGCTGCAGGAATGACTTTAATAAAATATGATCTTCTGGCACTGAGTCTCTGTCTGAGCTATGATTAGCAGTGAGTGTACAGTTGCTCCCAGACTGCTCATTTTTTAAACTTTTGTTTCTAACACAGTCTCTCTGGGGGAAATTACACCTGTAAACAATAAGGCTGTCTCCTATGAGCTAGAACAGTGACATTAAATCTGACATTGAAAACAAAACCTGAACTGAAAAGGTAAACATTGCTATTGAAACACTTTTATTGGAAAACGTTGTACTTCCTCTTTTTTGTCTTTTTCCCTCGAGTTTGATTGTTTGTTTCTTTCTCTGGTTATTTGGATTTTTGCTTGTTTTTGGACTCTGCCTCCACCTATCTGGATTTGTTTGCTTATGTTTCCTCGACCTCCTGTGTACCGAACCTTCAATTTGGCAAGTAAAGGCTGTGTGTTTCACATCAAGATCCTGTGTCTTCTGTCATGCATTTGGGTCCTACCGCTTGTAGTTCCACCAATCTTAACAGTACGAACTGGCCAGTGATGGACCCAGCAGACAGTTTTGATCAAGAACTCTATGATTTGTCCGGCACTCTACTATGTATGAAAGCTTGTTGAAGGTCAAGATGGTAGCTCTGAATATGGCATGGAAGGAAGTATCCTCTAAGCCTTCGCTCAAGAGTTCACTACCTGAGTGGGCTGAGGATTTTCTGAGCACCCCTGATTCCCAGCCAGCTAGCATCCAGCATGTCCAGGAAGTCTTCCCAGCTGCCCAGCACTCCAGAAACTCAGCCTGTCTCATCTCTTGGTCGCCATCCAGACCTGCTTCACCCTTCGGTCCTGCCTCCTAGTTGTCTGCCAAAGCTGTTCCCCAGAGAGTATCAGCATGCCTCGTCCAGAGTTACTCTGCTCTGCGTTCATATGCAAATTCTCTGGGGAATACATTTATTTTTTCATTTGGAAACGGTAGCCTTTTGTTAATTATTTGATGTTATTTATTTCTTATTTTTGACCATATTGTCCAGCCCTATTCTGTGCTCTTAAAAACATGATCCAACCATCTCTTCCAAAACACTGAACACACACACACATTGGGTAATGGTATGGTATCAACCCGCACAAACATTAATAAGTCATTTAAAACAATATCAACAAAGATTTGTGTACTCATCAGTCGAAAGGAAAACAATACGTCTGTAAGTTGCAGCGAAGCAGTTGATAACCGTATTGAGGTCCACTTCTTTGGTCCTCCTGGAACTGATGGCCAACAGAGCCAGATTGCTGGATCAGGCGTCTCAGCTTCTATTCCTTTAACCTGCATAATCTCACAGATGCAGTTGATCTGACAGGCAGGGTCATGGAGTTGCACACAAGTTTATATAAATCAACAAAAGCATTCTTGTGTTATGGGTGAAAGGGGAGGGGGATACTAATTTAATGATGATGATAATAAAAAGGGAAAGGGTTCTTAAAAAAAGTAAAAAAAAAAAAAACAATCGGGTGGTAAGCAGGACTGTGAGTAGCTTAGGAGATTGCACAGGCCAACTAGGCCAACCCAATCTAACGCCGGCGTTTCGACCCACCATCAGGGACACCTGAGGAGCACAAGACTGCAGCCAGTTAACCAACAAGTAATGCTTTTACTCAAACCTCACACGCCAGAGTGTTACTCTATCCAAAAGATACTCACTCAGCAAACAGAGCTCTCACTCTGCTGCTTTTGTGTCGCATCGTAACACTCTGGACTTCCATTGGCTGGTGCACTTGCCTCTGGTGAAGGTCTCTCTTCCCCCCAACTCTTTCCCTTCTGTGGTGCTTAGAATCCCTCTGCTCATGCCTCATTCCCTCCACTCTGCTTCATCTTGCTCCTGAGTCGTCTGTATCTCATGTGTCTCTCATTTGTCCCTCCAGACTATCCATTTTGTGTCTCTCTCGTTCCTTCTCCTTCCTGTAGTTCCAGGCTGTTTCCTTCTGCTTCTGTCTCTCCCCGTTGTGCCAGGTATGCCTTTCTTATTTCCGCATTCTGCTGCCTTTGTCCCACCCCAGGACCACCGATTGGTCCACCATGGGCCAACTCTCATCTGCCATTGGTGGGCCCTGCTGTCTGTAAAATAAGCTAAGAGCTGATCAGGTGTAGGAACCAGTGATTAGTCCAATCCGTCCGAATGTCAGGGAGAAAGTACAACATAACACTCAGTTCCAACTTAAAAGCAAGCTCAAAACCACAATCTCATAAACCAAAAATAAAATCAAGCGTAACCACTACAAAAGAAATGCAATAAAAGGTATAAAATATACAATAAATAACAGTTAAAACACACAGGGCCCTCTCAGAATGTGACAGCTTTCAGACAAAAAATTTCAAATCACTCAATTTACTAACCAATCAGGCGATTACTGAAAAAACAGTGGTTATGTTATTCGTCTGATGTTTCCAATCACTCTCTTGGCCCTGTCTGGCTGCTCACCACGAACTCCTGCAGGTGAAGAGGCTGTGCTTTTCTCCTCACCTGGGGCCGCTGCATTTCTGATTGTTGGCATCAGTCAGTCCTCAATATCTCGTCTCCAACTTCTCGTCTTCAACTCTCCAACCCGATTTTTGACAAGCACGTCCAGACACGAACACATTACCCCTGTGCTGTCGTCACTCCACTGGCTTCCAGTCCGTTTTAGAATTGATTTTAAACTTCTGTTGTTTGTTTTTAACGCCATTAATGGCTTGGCCCCCTCTTACTTGTCAGAGATTTTCACTTTTCGCAATTGTGGCAGAGCTTAAGACCCACTTTTTTAGATTAGCATTCAATTCTGACTAGGGCAGCACTGTCTCTTAGGTGTACTCTTTCTATCTGCTCCTTTCTATGCATTTCTGGAAGGCTTTTAATACCCTGCAGAGGATATAGACAGATCAGTGGCAGATGCCAGTTCCAAATCTGTGGCCTGTTGATGGTTGGAAAGGGTTTTCATGAGGCTGAATATGCTTTCCAGCATATAGTGAAGTGAAGAACAAACATCAATCAACCACAAAGCAAAACTCTGTGGTACCAACATGTATGAAATAATCTTTGTCTTGGTGATTGAGAATAAGTTGAGTTATTAGGCATGAAGTTGTATTATTATATATCCTCTTCAACTCATAGTTCAATCTTTAATTACCACTAAAGCAGTGTAACATATCTGTGAAATATTAACAGAAAGCTTTTTTTGTTACAGTATTTAATGTTCTTTCGATGCTATATGTGATGAAAGAACTTTATCTGTTTGTGGCTGATAAACCAGAGTGAGAGGACCAAAGAGAAGTGGTGGGATGTTAGTGCTGAGAAAAAGCTGAGAACTATACGTAAAAAGGAGAAGTTGTTTTGCTGCTTCTGTATCATAGTGACTGTAGCCACACAGCTCTCTGCAACAAAATGTCTTCATCATATTGTCCAGAATGGTGTTTATTGTCCTTTTATTGAATATTGATTCTTTGATGTAGAAGACTTACCTTGTGAAGTGAAAAATAACTACCACACATAAGTTCACACACATCTTTAAATATTGCTTCTGATGGGCAAAATCTTTCTGTCTGTTAGCCTCCATCCATTTTCTGTTATTTATCCAGGGCTGGGTTGCAGTGGCAGCAGGTCTATAGCAGGGTAGTCCAGACGTAAATCTTCCATCCATGAGGCGTTAATAAACCACCTGCTGTACATTACATGTCTATTTTATATCTACCTATCTTCAATTTAATCTTAACTACATGTCTATTGTGATATATGTAATATGTTATAACAGAAGATAAAGCATTCAGGCTTGCAGTCAGTGATGTGGCAAGAAACAACAATTAAGTCATTTTCACCCTAATAAGGTTAAGATGCAACAAAACCTGACTTCTTCACTCACAGGGTGCAAACAGGAAGAGTGAAGGCTTCTTGTACTGCTGCAGTATTTAAGTCATCCTGGTCCCTTGGGTGCTAGCTGTACTTCCACATACCTCTTGACTGCTTGTATGTCAGGGTCGTTTGTTTGTGCCTCCTCCCACTCACTACTGGCCCATCCTTCACCTCTCCCTTCAGGGGCTGGTACAACGGCTGCTGTGATGGGGTCTGTTTCGTTGCCTCGTTCTTCATCTGGTGCATCTCCTGGCTTAGACACCACTGGGAATCTGGACAGTACATCTGCATTCATATTATTTTTACCCAAGCAGTACATAATATCATAGTTAAATGGCTGCTACTGCACCCAGGCAGGCCGTCTGCAAGTGAGCAACAGGGTTATTATCAGTGTACACAGTAAATTGGGCAGCAGTCAGGTAGTCTTTGAATTTGTCTGTCACTGCCCACTTGAGGGCCAGAAGTTCCAATTTGAATGAGCTTTAAAAGCATCATTTTTTTCCAATTGCTTGCAAACATAGGCTTGCATAAGCTATTACACGTTGGCTTCCTTCTTGGACCTGAGCTATTACTGCTCCTAACCCCTGGTTACTGCAGTCTGTATAGACAATGCATAATGAACATAAGCTAGCACTGGGGCTTTGTCCATGCTGTTTTCAAAGCGTCAAAGGATGTCTGGCATTCAGGAGCTCACTGCACTTTCCTACTTCACGACTTTTTGTCTGCTGGGATTACTGTCAGTAGCCATCAACCCTAACCCCTAACCCTTCAGGGGCAGAGTGATCTTAGCAAAACTTGACACATGGCCCAAGAACTTCACCTCACACTGAAGGAACCTACACTTCAGCCGCAGTCTCACCAATGCCGCCAAAGCCTTTGGAACACCTCATCTAAATGCTGCAGTTGAGAAGAGAAGACAGGTGAGTAAATGATTATGTCATCCAAATATATCAGCAGAGACTCTGCCACCTGACGTGTTCTCACAACACGTCTACTCTGCCTCTCTTCTTCGGCAGACCCAATATAACGCCGGCGTCTCAAACAGCTCTGAACCTGCCTTTGTGTCCCATTGTAACACTCTGGACTTTTGCTGGCCACTGATCTTTTCCCAGGTGAAGATCTCTATTTTTCCTGACGCTTTCCCTTCTGCAGTGCTTCAATCCCTCTGTTCGTGCCTTGTCCTCGTCCTGCATCTCCGTTCCTGTTCCTTTGTTGTCTCTGTGCTGTACTCTGTGTCTCGCTGCTTTGTCCCACCCCTTGGCCACCGATTGGTCCACCATGGGTCAGCTCTCCCCTGCCATTGATGAACCATGTTGTATATCAGGTGGCCGGCCAGGTGCAGGTTATTGAGCATGATTGGCATAGTGTCAGGGAGGAAGTAGGCTAAAACAACTCAACTGATTTCAACTTAAAAGCATACATAAAACACTCACAAAACCAAGCATAAACACAATATAAAAACATGCAATAAAAGGATCAAATAAAACATAAATAACAAAGTTAAAACATGGCAAAAAGTGAAAACCTGTACTTCCAGCCTGTCTAACCCTAGCCTATTTAACTGGAGTGCAGACTGATTGGTTGCTGACGGGGGAAGCTGGTTGGAGGCTGGAGACTAGCAAACTGAGAGTTAGAAGAGTGGTGGCTAGATGGCTGAAAGCTAAGAGACTTGGACTGAAAACGGGGACCTCTAGCTGAGGCTAACCTGGGACTGAGGTTGATAGCTAGGAATCTGGGACTGAAGCTTGGGCTGAGAGCTTGGAACCTGTGGCTGAGGTTTAGGGACCTTAAGGAAGTCTGTGACCCAAACTGTAATGGAGCACAACTTTTTGGGAGCCAGAGTTCATCTAAAACTATGTCTGCTCGGCCCATGATTGACCTGATCGTTCTGTCACGTTAGATAATGGTGACGTTTAGTAGGTTTTATTCTAAAGGTGAAGATGATGAAGATGGCGATGATGAGGGGAGGGTTGAAGAAATGGCTTACAAATGGTGGCTGGCAGGCAGGCAGGCAGTGGCGTGCACAGACTTTTTGAAGGGCAGGACGGAAAGAAAAAAAAAGGGCACATATAGCGCGTCCTCACCACTGTAGAGGGCACTTTAGCACACGTTTTTCAACAATTGGGCCACGAGGAGGGGTGACCGCTCAGGCACTGAGTAGCTGGAGAACCGGAGTAGATATACTGTTGGTTGACTGGAGGTAGGTGCATAGACTGAGAGAGTTGATGGTTTCATTGCATATATACTGTGTGGAGCAGAGCTGGAAGGCAGGAGGGTAACCCACGCCCACAACACACAGATAGGAGACACAGGGGAGGGGGAAACACAAGAAAAACACAAGGAAAAGGCAAGGAAAAGGCAAGGGTACAGCCATGGCCATGACAGCTGTCTCTACCTGTATCTGCCTACAGTTTGGTGCTGAGCAGGTAGTGAACAGTGAATCTTAGAGCTTTTTACTTTGACTTTTACATCTGCATCTGAAAATGAGGCTGATGAAAGCTGTGAGAGTGAACCAAAACAGTAAAGTTAGGGCTGTAAAATCAATAGTATGAGTTACATGGAACTAATAAGACTAACAGTCACAGCCAGGATGGGAAAAGGGAGGGTGAAGCGAGTGAGTTGCAATCTGCAACTACACTGTTAGATGCCACAAAATCTTCCACACTGGACCTTTAATTCCTGAATACAGTTCAGCTGTTATCTATTAAATCAAGTTCTGACAGAGGCACACAGTTCAAACATTACAAACACAGTCAACAGTGTGGTACAAGTCCTTCAAGAGAATATCACATTTATTTAAAGACACATCAAATGTACCCTGTGGTATCAAGTTGACTTGTCATCATCTCACAGTACTCCATAGTGTTTCAGTGCTGAAGATATTTCTGTAAATGAAATAAGTTTTAAAAGCATGAGGTTTGTCAGTGTGTGGTTGATGAGTTAAAGTGGGTAAAAAAGAAGTGGTGGAAGATGTCATATACAAAGCGCTGAGAAAATGGAGGGAGCTTTAAGTTTACAGAGGATGTCATTTCAGTGTCAGTAAATGCATGGATTAAAGTATTACTGTAGTTCTATGTATGCTAAAATGTAAAAATGTTTCTAGTCACCTATATATATGCAATCCAAATACAAAATGACAACAGATTCATCACCTGACCCAGCAGGACCCTCACCAGCTCTGTCTGTTGCTTTAAACACTTAACAAGAAGAAACTCAGCAGGATCATCTAAATCTTTGTCCCCTTTGACTGTCCTCCTTACAATCCATTGTTGTTGTTTTTGTTGTTTTACAGTTGAAACAATTGCAAAATAAAATAAAATATACTGCAGAAAAAATAAGACACATGGGTTTGCAGTCAATACATCACAACACTAGTGTGTTGAGTAAAGTTAATAATAATAGAAAACATTCAAAATAAATAATTAATAATAAATAATATTAACAAAAGCTCCTCGCTCACAGAGTATGAATAGAAAGGCTGAAGACTTGTTGTAGTTGGATATGTGAAATGTTATTAAAAAGTGTTTTAATTGAGTATTTAAAGTGAACAAAGTATATTAGTCACTCACTTCTCTCATCAGCTTGTTATTACAGAGCAGCAGTGATGAAGTCAGCAAAAACTCTGTGGTACCAACATGTATGAAATAATCTTTGGGTGTTAACAATTAAGAATTTGTTGAGTCATTATGCACAAGGTTCATCAGATATCCTCTTTAGCTCACAAACATCTCATAATTCAATCTTTAATCACCATTAAGATAACAGCCTTTTTTCTTTCTTTTGAACAGTGTTTGAGTACTTTATCTGTTGCTGATAAACCATAGTGACAGGACCAAAGAGAAGTGGGGGGTGTAAAGTGGTTAAGTTGTGAACAGGGCGCTGAGAACAAGCAGAGAACTATAAGTAAAAAGGGGAACTTGTTTTGGTGCTTCTGTGCTTCTGCAGGATGATCATAGTGACTGTAGCCACACAGCTCTCTGCAACAAAATGTCTTCATCATGTGCTCCAGAATGGTGTTTAGTGTCTGTGTATTGAATATTTATTCTTTGATGTGGAACACTTTCCTTGTGAAGTTCACAACTCACACCTTCTTCAAATATTATCTCTGATTGAAACTTGCAAAATCAGCTTTACCAGCTCTGTCTGTTAGTATCCATCCATTTCCTGCTGTTTATCCAGGACTGAGTCGCAGTGGCAGCAGGTCTACAGCAGGGTAGACATCGCTCTTCACATGTTCCAGCTCTTCCTCCTGGGGAATCCTTCAGTACATTTTATGTATACTGTTCAACTAATCTTAACTACATGTACAGTATCTAGTACAGTAATATGTACTAAAACAAGATGTGATGAATTGTGATGAAAATAATATTTAAGAATACATAATGAATAAGTCTTTTTCACCCTAATAAGGTTAAGATGCAACAAAAGCTGACTTCCTCACTCACAGGGTGCAAACAGGAAGAGCAAAGACTTCTTGTATTTCAGCAGTATTTTAGTCGTGTGATATCTAGTTTGAAACAACAAGTCTGTTTGCTTTTATGTTACAGCGGCTTAGCAGGGAAGTCTGTTACTGGGTCTGTTGTTTCTCCGGTTTATCTGTAGGCTCGTTTGGTAAGGTCAAATGTTACTGCTTTTTATGTTTGAACTTTTTAACCCAGAGAGTTTTTATTTTGTTGCTTTTCATGAACTCCACTGAAAAAGACATGATATATTTTATTTGTTGGGTTTTGTTTTAGCAGAAATGATCCTCAAAGAAATGAGAAGTTTCTTCAGCAACATTTTATTTGCACTATAATATCATAAACTCAGACTGGATCATTCTGATTTTATATTGAAACTGTTTTCAGAGCAACTCTGCAGATATTATTCATCACTACTTATAACACAGTAACATCTGGTTGGACATGGCAAGTTCCTGGTTTGAATGTGTGAATCTGAGGTTGCTTTAAAACAACATGAAGGATTTGTTTAAAAGATGCTTTGATTCAAATATTGAAGAGTAACTTTTTTTCAGATCCAGGTGATGAGTGTGATTGCAGTCCTGTCTGTGAATATGGTGACAGCCAACATGTTACTGAGTGTCTTCTTTCTTTCAGGTGAGCTGTTTGTTCAGTCACTTTTATTTGGAGACATTAATCATTTACAGTTTGGACTTCATTTAGAAACAAAGCAGAAAGACCAGTGCAGATAGAGTTACTTTTTCCAACTGTTCATGTCCTGACTGCAAAGTGAAATGTTGTATATAGAAATTGTTAACAGGACAGGGAAAAAGACCAGCATGCAACACACTGCTGATTTATTTATCATGAACTTTCTCTTCATGCTGATGTTTTCCACATTTTGTTCATCATGAGTCTGATTTTACAGGTGCTTTTGCTGATTGTCCTCCACACACAAACCTCTTCATTACTGCACCAAAGAAGATGGAACCACTGAGTGGATCTTGTTTGCAAATCCCATGTAACTTTAGAGCTAAACAAGAACAAGATTATGACAGCAGCAGAGAAACCTTTGGAGTGTGGATTAAAACTGACCACAGATTTGGCAATAATCCAAACAATGTGATTTTCAACAGTAGTAAGACAGTTAACACGTATCCAATGAGTATTACTGGAAACCTGAGTCAGAAAAACTGCACCACTCTGTTTTCCAGTTTAATCACAAATTATACAGACACATACTACTTCAGAATTGAGACTAAACCATTCAGAGCAACAGCTGAATGTGATCCTCTTCAAATAACAGTTAAAGGTAAGAGAGCTTTGTTTCTTTCAGTCAGTCTATAATGTTATTGTTTAGAATAAAAAGTGAAATCAGTTACAGTTTTGGTCTAAACAGCAGACTTTATCAATTTGGAGGTTTTTCACTTTACCATGAATTTAAATTCTGATTAAACACTGAGTCTATTGTTACAGTTTGACATTAAAATTGTCAACTGTGGGACACTGAAATGCAGAACAAACTGTTATTTATACTTATACTGTAAAATGTGTTTGATTTAAACCACAGATTCTCCTCCAAGCCCCAGAATTGAGATCTCAGGTGATCTGAAGGAGAAGCAGTCTGTCACTATAACCTGCTCAGCTTTCACTCCCTGCCCACACTCCCCTCCTAAACTCACCTGGAATCTCCAACAAGACTCTCACAACCAAATAGAGGAAAACACAGATGGAACCTTCACAACTAAAATCCAGGAGAGCATCACTCTGTCAGACCAACATGATGGATACAACATCACCTGTTCTGTCAGATATCCTGTGAATGAAGGAAAAGATAACAAGACAGCAGAGGAGAGAAAGACTCTCAGTGTATCATGTAAGACAACCAGAGTTTGTTATTGGATCCTGTCAGCACATGATGATTCATGGGATATCAGCTGATTTTTAATGAATAAAGTTAATCTCACATTTTCCTCAGATGCTCCTAAAGACACCTCAGTGTCCATCAGTCCATCAGGTTTGGTGTCAGCAGGTAGCTGGGTGAACCTGACCTGCTCCAGCAGAGCCAAGCCTCCCGTCAGCCGTTTCACCTGGTTCAAGAACAGCAAAGATGGACCCATGATTGTATCTGAAGGACAGTTTTACAGCTTCAATGTGACAGATGGAGGAGTTTATTACTGTGTGGCAATGAATGATTTTGGTAATCAGTCGTCATCATGGATTCATTTAAACAGTGCAGGTAAATGTCAAACTGAATCTTATTATATAACTAGAAAATTCCTAAAGAAATTTTGATTGTGCCTTGCTCTGGCCCATATGTTACTACCATGTCTTGCTCTCTAGCACGCTAGCGTTAGCATATTAATGCCATGTAATCCTCCCTATAGCATATTGATAACCTGTCATCCTCCTTAGCTAGCTAGCTAGAGCTAGCACACATAAACACATTAACTAATCGCTAGCTTTGGTTAAGGTGTTTATGTGTGTTATTCTCCTGAAGGAGTGCTAGCGCTAGCTTATTAATGTCTAGTCATTCTCTGTAGCTAGCTGTGTGTGTGTGTGCGTGTGTGTGTGTGTGTGTGTGTGTGTGTGTGTGTGTGAGAGGCAGGCTTTGGTTGTCATGGCAATCAGGGGAGGCCACAGCAGCTGCACACTCTCTCTGTCTCTAACTCCTCAGAGAGACAGAAACATTTAAAATGAATCCCCTCGAACCCATGGCCAGGAACGACCGAGATGAAAACCGAAAAGACCGTGAGCGTCGTCATCTTGTTGACTATAGCACTGCCGAGTTTCAGTGGCTAAAGTTAAAAAATGTGACCTGGGGAGATTGAGAGAGAAGAGGTTCAACGAGCTCCTTTCAAAATTCCTCCTCTGCATTTAACATGGTAGTAGATGGGGCCGTGAGAGGGCGTTGCTGGCGCATCAGTGCATCTCCCGCCAAAACTATTTGTCTGACAGCTTCGGCAGTGGTATCACTGCGACCCCAAAGAATTTACCTACGTTTCTATCTACAAATTATTTCTGTAGAGTGATATTTGTGGCCTTGAGAGCAGTTTACAAATTTATTTTCCCACAAATTTTCTCTCTCCCCACACTCTAGCGGTGATGTCACGCACTCTGGCAGTTGAAGATTCTCGCAATACACACCCATTCATTTTTTGGACCGGTTTTTGGCGATTTATCGGTAAACTGTTTAGCACTAATGTCCTCACCGAGCCACACGTTTTGATACCTTTTTTGTGTATGTGCGACCAAAACTGCGGGAGGAGTAGCGCGCCGAAAAAAGGTACGGAAGAATAATAATTTTATTAAGCCCGAGGAATAATAGTATTGTGCTTTTCAAGGCACAATAATTACTTTCTTCTTTTCTGTTTGTCTTCTTTCTTGCAGCTGTATTGTAGTTTCTTGGTTTTAGTACCTCGCACTTTTTCTGCATATGTATGAATTTATTCTATATAATTAAACTTGACCTAGATGTTAAAAGAGAGACTTCAACGATGGTTACATCAGTATTTTTACAACATTCAACCTTTGTTACCTTTCAGTCTCCTCTCTACAATGGGGTTTAGCTGTGAGAGGGATCATTGTTGTCATTCTCATCTGCACTGCTCTCTGTGTTTGGTAAGTATCACAAATTAAAGGATGTGACACAATAAACTCTCTGGCACTGAACTTTTAACTAAACGTACGTTCATGGTGAGAGCATGGATGACGATGTGATCTGTCAGTTTTGTTTATTTCTGTACCAACAGATTCCTCACATTTACGTTTTTGTACTGATTAAAGTGGTTGACTCTGAAACTCTCAAAAGAGAACAAAAGTTGTTGTTCAGACGACCTGTTCTGTGATTTACTGTCCTCCTTTAGTTTCATCACCAATCTCTACCAATTGTATTTTAATCTGTATGTTTTTATGCATCCAATAATGCTGTTTCCCATCAGTCCTTACTTCTATCATCTATTTAACCTGAAACACAGTACAATTATTCTGACAGCTCTCTAATGTCTTCCAGGTGGTTTAAGTGGAAACATCAAACTCCACAACAGACTCAGGTGGGAAAATACTAACCTTCATTGTACTGAACTGTTTGTTTGAAGTATTTTACATTGACTCTGTCTGATATATATGAAAGCATCAGTCTCAACAATCAGTAGACAGTGTTTGAGAGGTACGGAGCCCCTAAAGTCCCCAAAAGAATGTTTTTTTTTATCTTGTGCGCACAAGATAATTTACTTTAAATTCATATGCATCTCTAATGGCTTCAGATGCACACAGCTGTCATATAATGGAGAGAACTCAGCTTATCAAGTTTTATTTTCACCTCGAAATGTCATACCATGAAATTCTTGCTGCTCTTGCTAAAATCTGAATGTCGGACAGATTCTGTTTAGAGGGGCATGGACACGTTGGTAAAACGGGCGATCTAACCAAACAATGTGTTTGCTTACACTATGGGAGTGGCTTTATGTGGAGGAGGGGTAGCTACAAGACCATAGTGGCTCTAGTGGGCGCAACAAATTTCACATGCACTAACTGACATGTAAGGCAGTAACAGTCAGGGGATGGGCTCTTTAAAGTTTACACAGGCTGGAGCACGTGTTAGTAACAGCTAGGGAGGTAACTTTAATTTTTCACAGGGCTGATAGCACGCTGTGGCTCTATCTCAAGATCTGCTTCTTACTTAGGCTGAAATACATAGCTGAATCAGTCAGGTACAAGATATATGTGTCACAGGGCCGGTGGCACGCTGTGTCTTAATTAAAAGGAGGAGCACTTTAATTTACAGCAAATGAAGACAGTTTGAATAGCTTGCATTGAATATGTCTGACTCGAATGCTGAACCAAATTCTTCTTTTTCATACGGTGTAGGTTCAGCTTGGAATAGCTAGCAACAATAGTAAACTCAAAATGAATATTCTCAAATTCCTTAATTTGATGAATAAATAAATTTCACCACAAAGTACTTGTTTATAAGTACAGCTTGACGTCTACTGCGGTGTCAGACTAGTGGAACTAGCCAAAATTTGCATATTGGCCAAAAGTACATAAAACATTAATATTGTGGGCGTGCCAGGAGTTTTATCACCTGGACATCGTGCATCATCAAGTTGTCTCAGGTTACAGTCCCAGAAAGTGACTGAATGAGGTGACAGGAAGTGACCCGTCACAATAAATATCCAGTTAAACCACACCAAATGAACAAGTTCATGTTTAAATGTCCCCTTTGACCCAACAGGAACCATAGTCATTTGGATCTGGTTGTCATCTACTTTGTTTGAATAATAGAGACACAAGAATTGGAATTGGAAGAAAAAGACCTGAACATAGTGAGGATTGTTCCAAAGAATCCTATCCATTTTATACTCAACAATATTTAAGGTTGCACTGTAATCCAGCAGCATCAGAACAAATGTTTAACCTGAGTCAGGATTCAGATTGATGTTTGTGTGCCAAAGTGAAATTTAGATTGATCTGTGATGATTTAATCTGGAAGGATCCAGCTCACAACATTTCTTATTTGATTCATTTTTCAGAGTCAAAGAGGTGAAGAGCTTTCTCTTCAAATGCCAGTCAGCACAAATTAAGAAAACATCCATTATGGAGAGATTGACTTTTCGAAGAGGAGACCTGAACCGTCCTCTGACTCAGTGCAGGACAGTGGACAGCAACATGATTCGCTGTATGCACAGGTCAAAGTGTCTGAGCCATCAAACAGATTAACTCACACTGCTGATGGTCCAGAGGATCTCTACGCTCAAGTGAAGAAATAATAAATGAGTACTGTTTGTGATCACACTTGGGTTGGATTCATAATCTACCTTTATTTTGTAATTTTACCACATGTTTTATGTCAGTTAATGAAGAAAAAGTCCGTGGAGACTAGACAGGAAAATGTTTACTGCTCACAGTTAAATAAAAGGAAACTCCACACACTGCAGCTCAGATGGTTTTCTCAGTAATCACATTATCATAGTTCAGATTTATGTACTGACCTCATACAGCTGTTACTGTGTGGTTAGTAATCTGTTTGTGAGATATGTGCAAGTAAAAGTCTCAAAGCTCGAAGCAGTTCTGTACACACATTACCAGTGTAGTCCAAGATTATATCTTCTTTTGAAATGTTTATGTTTATTTTACATTTTATTTTTAATAAGGCATATTGATCTAATTTGCTTTATCTATTGTGTATCCCATTTTCTTACATATTTACTATATTACTTCTAAAATGAACATGAGACAGAGTTTCTGCATTTGAAGATATTTATTCATTGCACTGTAATAAAAACATTGGCATACAACTACTAAAAATACCTAATAATCTCATTCGCATTTATTGGTCCAACATTTCACATATTGTGTGTAAACATCACCTGAAATCATACAATTTAATCACAAACATAACGAAAGTGACGAGATGAACTAGCATAGTAATTCTCGGGTCCACTGGAAATCTGCTACAATGTTTTGAGTATTTATTGTACATCTGATTAATATATTTTCTAATATCAAGTTCAGTTTAACATAAAGGGCATTTCTTCAGACTCAGTCAATAATGTATTAAAAGAGCTGCTAAAATTCACTTAAAACCTTTCTATGAGTAAAAACATTCAAACTTGATCTACTCTTTGTCAGAATTTTGCCCAAAAAAGATCTTTGGGCTTCAGCTTGTAAACACAGCATCCTAGACACTGTACTGTTAAATATCTCAGAGGCACTACTGGGCCATGTTGATTGTGCTTTAGTACCATGCTATCTCTTGTGAGTGAATGGAGGTAGTGACAGTATCTACTAACCTTCATGTTGAGAGTCAAACCTCCCTCCTACCACCAACCCAGCACCAGTCCCTCAGTGTTGCAGCATTAGTGTGAAGTGGTTAAAACCCTACTGACAGGAAGTTCCTCCCTGTTCCTGGAGGAACTTCCTGTCAGTAGGGTTTTAATTGTGCACTCTGTCCTCCAGAGCCTTCAGCTCAGCCTCCACCTGAGCCGGCAGATCAGCTTCAACTTGCTGAGTGAAGTAGGCTCTCAGCTCCTTCGTCTCCTTCTGCCAGAAAGATGTAGGCACATGGAACAGGGCACCCATATCCACCTTGCTGCTCAGACCTTTAGTGTTGATGGCGCCATCTTCTGGCAGCCAGCCGATAATGCTCTTCTTGGCCACATTGTCCTCCATCTCCCCATCGCAGAGCAGAGCCGGGCCAGAGGAAGACAATAAAGAACTAGGTATAGTAATAGTATTAGTAAAGGTAATGTCATTATTATCCATTCATCTTAAGGCACCTCATCAATGGGATAACTCTAATATCTGTATTACAAATAATGACACAATACCTAAAACTTAAAGATTAAAAGTTAGTAAACTACATTGACCTTGAAATTACAAAAAAAGGACAAAAAATATATAATTTCAGGATTGTCAGGATTTAAAGATTTGATTTATAGTAGTTGAAAATTGTTTTTAACACAAGAACTTTCTCTGTGCTGCAGGAATGACTTTAATAAAATATGATCTTCTGGCACTGAGTCTCTGTCTGAGCTATGATTAGCAGTGAGTGTACAGTTGCTCCCAGACTGCTCATTTTTTTAACTTTTGTTTCTAACACAGTCTCTCTGGGAGAAATTACACCTGTAAACAATAAGGCTGTCTCCTATGAGCTAGAACAGTGACATTAAATCTGACATTGAAAACAAAACCTGAACTGAAAAGGTAAACATTGCTATTGAAACACTTTTATTGGAAAACGTTGTACTTCCTCTTTTTTGTCTTTTTCCCTCGAGTTTGATTGTTTGTTTGTTTCGCTGGTTATTTGGATTTTTGCTTGTTTTTGGACTCTGTCTCCACCTATCTGGATTTGTTTGCTTATGTTTCCTCGACCTCCTGTGTACCAAACCTTCAATTTGGCAAGTAAAGGCTGTGTGTTTCACATCAAGATCCTGTGTCTTCTGCCATGCATTTGGGTCCTACCGCTTGTAGTTCCACCAATCTTAACAGTACGAACTGGCCAGTGATGGACCCAGCAGACAGTTTTGATCAAGAACTCTATGATTTGTCCGGCACTCTACTATGTATGAAAGCTTGTTGAAGGTCAAGATGGTAGCTCTGAATATGGCATGGAAGGAAGTATCCTCTAAGCCTTCGCTCAAGAGTTCACTACCTGAGTGGGCTGAGGATTTTCTGAGCACCCCTGATTCCCAGCCAGCTAGCATCCAGCATGTCCAGGAAGTCTTCCCAGCTGCCCAGCACTCCAGAAACTCAGCCTGTCTCATCTCTTGGTCGCCATCCAGAGCTGCTTCACCCTTCGGTCCTGCCTCCTAGTTGTCTGCCAAAGCTGTTCCCCAGAGAGTATCAGCATGCCTCGTCCAGAGTTACTCTGCTCTGTGTTCATATCCAAATTCTCTGGGGAATACATTTATTTTTTCATTTGGAAACGGTAGCCTTTTGTTAATTATTTGATGTTATTTATTTCGTATTTTTGACCATATTGTCCTTCCCTATTCTGTGCTCTTAAAAACATGATCCAACCGTCTCTTCCAAAACACTGAACACACACACACATTGGGTAATGGTATGATCAACCCGCACAAACATTAATAAGTCATTTAAAACAATATCAACAAAGATTTGTGTACTCATCAGTCGAAGGAGAACAATACGTCTGTAAGTTGCAGCGAAGCAGTTGATAACCGTATTGAGGTCCACTTCTTTGGTCCTCCTGGAACTGATGGCCAGCAGAGCCAGATTGCTGGATCAGGCGTCTCAGCTTCTATTCCTTTAACCTGCATAATCTCACAGATGCAGTTGATCTGACAGGCAGGGTCATGGAGTTGCACACAAGTTTATATAAAGCAACAAAGCATTATTGTGTTATGGGTGAAAGAGGAGGGGGATAATAATTTAATGATGATGATAATAAAAAGGGAAAGGGTTCTTTTTCAACAGAGTTAAAAAAAAACAATTGGGTGCTAAGCAGGACTGTGAGTAGTTTAGGAGATTGCACAGAGAACACATTGGGCAGTCTTATGGGTTTTGGCCGCTCGTGGCGTGTCCACTAGGCCTCTCCTCTTCGGCAAACCCAATCCAATGCCGGCGTTTCGACCCACCACCAGGGACACCTGAGGATGACAAGACTGCAGCCAGTAAACCAACAAGTAATGCTCTTACTCAAACCTCACACGCCAGAGTGTTACTCTATCCAAAAGATACTCACTCAGCAAACAGAGCTCTCACTCTGCTGCTTTTGTGTCGCATCGTAACACTCTGGACTTCCATTGGCTGGTGCACTTGCCTCTGGTGAAGGTCTCTCTGCCCCCCAACTCTTTCCCTTCTGTGGTGCTTAGAATCCCTCTGCTCGTGCCTCGCTCTCCCCACTCTGCTTCATCTTGCTCCTGAGTCGTCTGTATCTCATGTGTCTCTCATTTGTTCCTCCAGACAATCCATTTTGGGTCTCTCTCGTTCCTTCTCCTTCCTGCAGTTCCAGGCTGTTTCCTTCTGCTTCTGTCTCTCCCCGTTGTGCCAGGTATGCCTTTCTTATTTCCGCAATTCTGCTGCCTTTGTCCCACCCCAGGACCACCGATTGGTCCACCATGGGCCAACTCTCATCTGCCATTGGTGGGCCCTGCTGTCTGTAAAATAAGCTAAGAGCTGATCAGGTGTAGGAACCAGTGATTAGTCTAATCAGTCCGAATGTCAGGGAGAAAGTACAACATAACACTCAGTTCCAACTTAAAAGCAAGCTCAAAACCACAATCTCATAAACTAAAAATAAAATCAAGCGTAACCACTACAAAAGAAATGCAATAAAAGGTAGAAAATATACAATAAATAACAGTTAAAACACACAGGGCCCTCTCAGAATGTGACAGCTTTCAGACAAAAAATGTCAGATCACTCAATTTACTAACCAATCAGGCGATTACTGGAAAAAACAGTGGTTATGTTAGTCGTCTGATGTTTCCAATCGCTCTCTTGGCACTGTCTGGCTGCTCACCACGAACTCCTGCAGGTGAAGAGGCTGTGCTTTTCCCCTCGCCTGGGGCCGCTGCATTTCTGACTGTTGGCCTCAGTCAGTCCTCAATTTCTCGTCTCCAACTTGTGCAGAACGCCGCTGCACGATTTTTGACAAGCACGTCCAGACGCGAACACATTACCCCTGTGCTGTCGTCACTCCACTGGCTTCCAGTCCGTTTTAGAATTGATTTTAAACTTCTGTTGTTTGTTTTTAACGCCATTAATGGCTTGGCCCCCTCTTACTTGTCAGAGATTTTAACTTTTCGCAATTGTGGCAGAGCCCTGCGCTCTTCGGGTCAGCTTCTGTTAGAGGTCCCTAGGTCGAGACTTAAACAGTGGGGCGATCGTTCTTTTGCCGTCGCTGCTCCCAGACTGTGGAACAAACTGCCCCCTGACATTCGCACCACTACTGATCTCAGCCTTTTTAAATCGAAGCTTAAGACCCACTTTTTTAGATTAGCATTCAATTCTGACTAGGGCAGCACTGTCTCTTAGGTGTACTCTTTCTATCTGCTCTTTTCTATGCATTTCTGGAAGGCTTTTAATACCCTGCAGCGTTGCAGCACTACAACTTTTAATTGTATTTGTATGTTATGTATGTGTTATGTATTGTTTTATGGCTTTGTTGTAAAGCACTTTGGGTACCTTTCGGCTATTGTAAAGGGCTATACAAATAAACTTGATTTTGATTTGATTTCAATGCCCACCGAAGCACACTGGTCATTGACACACTCCCAGATAACATTCCACGTTTCCTCGTTGTGTTTGTCAGAGGATATAGACAGATCAGTGGCAGATGCCAGTTCCAAATCTGTGGCCTGTTGATGGTCGGAAAGGGTTTTCGTGAGGCTGAATATGCTTTCCAGCATATAGTGACGTGAAGAACAAACATCAATCAACCACAAAGCAAAACTCTGTGGCACCAACATGTATGAAATAATCTTTGTCTTGGTGATTGAGAATAAGTTGAGTTATTAGGCATGAGGTTGTATTATTATATATCCTCTTCAACTCATAGTTCAATCTTTAATTACCACTAAAGCAGTGTAACATATCTGTGAAATATTAACAGAAAACTTTTTGTGTTACAGTATTTAATGTTCTTTCGATGCTATATGTGATGAAAGAACTTTATCTGTTTGTGGCTGATAAACCAGAGTGAGAGGACCAAAGAGAAGTGGTGGGATGTTAGTGCTGAGAAAAAGCTGAGAACTATACGTAAAAAGGAGAAGTTGTTTTGCTGCTTCTGTATCATAGTGACTGTAGCCACACAGCTCTCTGCAACAAAATGTCTTCATCATATTGTCCAGAATGGTGTTTATTGTCCTTTTATTGAATATTGATTCTTTGATGTAGAAGACTTACCTTGTGAAGTGAAAAATAACTACCACACATAAGTTCACAGACATCTTTAAATATTGCTTCTGATGGGCAAAATCTTTCTGTCTGTTAGCCTCCATCCATTTTCTGTTATTTATCCAGGGCTGGGTTGCAGTGGCAGCAGGTCTATAGCAGGGTAGTCCAGACGTCCATCTTCCATCCATGAGGCGTTAATAAACCACCTGCTGTACATTACATGTCTGTTTTATATCTACCTATCTTCAATTTAATCTTAACTACATGTCTATTGTGATATATGTAATATGTTATAACAGAAGATAAAGCATTCAGGCTTGCAGTCAGTGATGTGGCAAGAAACAACAATTAAGTCATTTTCACCCTAATAAGGTTAAGACGCAACAAAACCTGACTTCCTCACTCACAGGGTGTGAACCGGAAGAGTGAAGGCTTCTTGTATTGCTGCAGTATTTTAGTCGTCCTGGTCCCTTGGGTGCTAGCTGTACTTCCACATACCTCTTGACTGCTTGTATGTCAGTGTCGTTTGTTTGTGCCTCCTCCCACTCACTACTGGCCCATCCTTCACCTCTCCCTTCAGGGGCTGGTACAACGGCTGCTGTGATGGGGTCTGTTTCGCTGCCACGTTCTTCATCTGGTGCATCTCCTGCTGGGATTACTGTCAGTAGTCTCAACTCTAACCCCTAACCCTTCAGTGATCTTAGCAAAACTTGACACATGGCCCAAGAACTTCACCTCACACTGAAGGAACCTACACTTCAGCCGCAGTCTCACCAATGCCACCCCAGCCTTTGGAACACCTCATCTAAATGCTGCAGTTGAGAAGAGAAGACAGGTGAGTAAATGATTATGTCATCCAAATATATCAGCAGAGACTCTGCCACCTGACGTGTACTCACAACACATCTACTCTGCCTCTCTTCCTCGGCAGACCCAATATAACACCGGCGTCTCAAACAGCTCTGAACCTGCCTTTATGTCCAATTGTAACACTCTGGACTTCTGCTGGCCACTGATCTTTTCCCAGGTGAAGATCTCTATTTTTCCTTACACTTTCCCTTCTGCAGTGCTTCAATCCCTCTGTTCGTGCCTTGTCCTCGTCCTGCATCTCCGTTCCTGTTCCTTCGTTGTCTCTGTCCTGTACTCTGTGTTTCGCTGCTTTGTCCCACCCCTTGGCCGCCGATTGGTCCACCATGGGTCAGCTCTCCCCTGCCATTGATGAACCATGTTGTATATCAGGTGGCCGGCCAGGTGCAGGTTATTGAGCATGATTGGCACAGTGTCAGGTGTTGGTTCTCAATAAAACAGGTTTTTCTGATCAGAAGATTATATCCAACATCTCAGATTTAAATCCAAATCAGGTCCATTAATATTATCCTTTGAATGGAAAATTCTAAGTCCAAATTAGGTCCAAATAGTATTTCTTTTAGCTGGAAAAGAAACAGCCAGGATTCATCCAAGTAGGCAGTAGAAGGTGGAGCTTTATTCCCTTTGCAGGAGATTAAAACCCGAGTCATCCATGGAAAGACTGAATTTTCATGTCAGAACATCACCTTTTATACACTTATAAGTCCTGCCCAACTGTCAATTTTTTGATCCATGACATAATGGTGTCCATCCCCCTGGAAATGTCTGGAAAATTCCATCAACCTGGGACTGTCCCCTCTACTGTCTTGTCTACATCACCCTCAGCTCCTCTGCACCTGTGGCCTGAGCACTTGTTATCACACAGTCAGTCCTTCTGCACATGTGCTAGTCTGACTACAGATCCTGCAGGCCTCACGGCCTGTTGTGCCTTGTGCTGGGCTTGAGCACTTCTTATCATTAACCTTGCTGGCTTCTTGGCCTTTGGCAGTATGCCGAGACCTTTTCTTTTTGCTCTTCTTTCTCACACCAGTCACCCCATTTGAAATCTATTTGGCTGTACTTCTATCCTTTAAAACCTTACGTTACCTCTTTCTTACACCATTATGTCATTGACGTCTTTTACTGTATTTTTAAATCTTTATAAACTTTATAAAATGACAAAAAGCTTGTGTTACAATCATTCACATTTTTGGTACAAACATTACTTATTTCTTGCTACAACTACACATTCAATATTCTTCTCTACTTTAAATCAAACCATTAAATCAAACTTTCACAGAAACAATGGTGCTCTCTACTTCATTAACAGTTTTGTGTGCTCACATAAAATCAACCTTACTTAAATCATATTAACCATAAAATCAACTCTACTTGAATACAGTGCTCATTACTTGATTTTTCTGTGTGTGATTAAAATATAGTGCTTATACCATTATTTCCAGCATTTTGTGTGATTATTAGAATTTTTAGCATATACTAGTCATCCGCATGCAATAGATTTTATACTACACAGGAAGTATGTAGGCTAAAATAACTTAACTGATTTCAACTTAAAAGCGTACATTAAACAATCTCAAAA